ATGTGATTTGAATGATACCATTTCAATAAAATTGAGGATCTTCAGTTTAGCCTTACAAGTCTACCTGACTACTCAACTGATCTAGTAAGCAGTCCAGTTCAAGCTACTGTCGATAATCGTAATTTATTGTTGTTGTTGATCTATTTACGGGTAATTTAATTTAAGTTGGTGATTTCTATAAAGATTGAACACCTAATTCTTGGTAAGTTGGCATATTGACTGCAGACAAACTGATATAGATGCTAAGTAATGGAGTCTTTTAAGCCATTTCATAACAAGTTATCGAGTACAAAATAGAAATTGACGATGAACGCTTCTTAAGAATGTATACTTACGGTATATCGATTGGAGGTGGCGAATTTTGATTTGAGATGGATTTGTTCTTTGGTTTTGAAGATATTTCCGGTTGTTGCTCTACCAGTGGTTCAATGTTAAATATTAGTAATGTAACATTTAAAATTCCGTAAAAGGTCTATAATTTTAGTATCAAGTTTATCTGATTTGCTTCAGTGTTACTTATGATAGAATCTGTAGTAGAATTTTAGCTGGCAGTTTGATAGCAAACTAGTGTACTATGTTCTAATCATCTTTTAACATACGATACATAATTTAAATACTTTACAACAAACTATAGGAATTTCAAATATTTCGCCAATACGGTCATCTTTACAAATGTTTTTGTAAAAGACTTGTACAGCAGAAGTAATATAGTACATTACTAAACGATATAAACCTGCTATATCGCAATAGCTTGGAAAATATTTACTGCTTGAAAAACAAAGATCGATGCATGTTCTAATAATTTTTTATTATTGCTACAAATCGATATTCGTCAAAGAAGAAATAAAATGCTTTTAGCAACTTAATATTAAAGCCTAGTAATAGATCTGTCCTCCCAACATCCCATAGAGTACAATTCTAAATATTAACAACCTAGCCATCGTCAGGAGGTTGTCATAAACTGCATGTCTCTTCTAGATAAACTGAGCCTCCTGATAAATTCATAACAGCTATAAGTTTATTATTACGTTACAATTATATTAAGTGTTGGAATTTCTATGATTAAAAAGGCTCATGGTCATTTAAATATCACTACAGCATAGTAGAACATTAGTACGGTACATAGATTATAATGTTATACAAAATTATTGATATGCCAAATAGGTTCATATCTTAAAAAGTTGTGTTGTTACTACTTGAGTATGTACTGTAATAAGGGTACTTAAAGCTTTTTGAAGGCAACGCTTGATAATAAATAATTTAAGGTCTAAAGTGCAAATATTGCGATTTATGGCACAGGAAAGTGTTTGAAACATATTACAATTAACCTTTGATTATAATTGCCTAGCCAGTCGATAAGCGAAATGATAGCAAAAATAAAAAAATAAAACTAGCAAACTTTAGTTCCAACTATATCTCAATATTAAAGTAGAGGTGCGACCGAGCATGAATGAGAACGATGACCAGTAATATTTAATTCATTAAAAGTTTTTTCCCTGCATGTTTGTAATCCGATTTCATGTATGCTATCATTGCGTTCAATAGTCTGGACAGTGTCTGATTTTAAATTTAGATAGAGAAGACCAAAAGAGAATATTTTGGAGCACCCGTTATTTATAAAAGTCAAGAAAGCTATTTACCTTTATTTTCTGCAGTTTTATTAGCCTCTTTTACTAATCGCTTACCAAGTCCCCGAACAGTACTAATTTTGTTCTCTTTTAGCAAGTGACAAAACTGATAAAAGTTATCATCGCTCCTTGATTCCAGTACTTTTAGGAATTCAAAGGCTCATTCTTTGTCAGTTTTACGGTCATCTCTCAGTTTTTTGACTTCTTCATTAGATAAAATTTGTAGAAAACGTAGAGCATATAGTATATCTACCAAATGGACACTTGTGCTTATTTCTGAACTGTTTTGGACAATGATTCATTTAATAGCTCGGCTCACAACCATTTTATACGTAGCTGTTACTCATATATGAAAATATGCAAGATCCAATTTAAGATAAATTGGGAGCAATACATACGGTATACACGTATACCGGATACGAATTAAAATTAGCTATGAAAAACGAAATACTTTAAAAGGATAAGTTTAGTTTCAGTCAGCTATTTCGCCTACATTCCTTTACAGCATTATGCTGATTCTTTTAGACTAAGTTAATTGCTATCTCATCGCTTACGGTATAAATTATCTTGCGAATTACTAGAGTTATGATAGTATTGTAGTACAAGATAAATGCTATTTATGTATTCAACAATTCAATTGATTTCATCATATGAATGACGTTGATACTTGCTATATTATTAGGAAATATAAGTGAAATTTTTGGTAGATTAATTGATAAGATTTTTTGTAGCACAATGGAGAAACAATGTAAATGATCTTTTTATATTTACTTCAAGGACGATTTTGTAGTTAAATAATCAATTAGTATTGTAATATTTCAGTTCTATTTCAGTTTTACTGGTAACCATTGGATGTTAATAACATAAATTCTGTACTAGCGAAGACTGAAGTCAGTAATCAAAAGAATCGCCATTTTGTACTTTATGAACTAATAATACATACTAGAGAAACGTGATGTATAATTATAATGGATGCTAGCAATTCTTACAGGTGCATCATAATATTAAATTTGACTGAAATAAGGATGAATAATACATAAACATAACGACTGGTAACGGGCTAGTTAAGGATAAGGATTCATTGCATCGATAATAAACGCTGATTTGCTCTTAAACTATGTGCGAGTATATTAAAGAAGTACTAAATATTCGCCTGTAACCTACTTGGCATGTCTTACTGATAAAAGATGAGAAATATCTTAATCAAAGCAGTAATCTGTGATAAGTAATAAGTAAAAAGTATATGATTGCTTTATTTTCCTCAGAATCAGTTTTATAGTATCTGTAATATAATACTATTTGTTAAACATGATTATTATATAGATTAGCCTGAGCCGATACATCTGCAATATGATGTACTTTATTTTCGTCAAAATCAGTTATTACTTGCATCGCACGCCAGTTAATACTTAGTTGCATCAAGCCTTAGTATCCTAACTTTGCAGAAATTTAGAGTTTCTACGTAAATTAGTAATACCTTTGTTTAACTTTTTATAAGATATCAACTGTAGTAAGGTAATTAAATAGTAGTAAAATCATAAATTACTGCAATTATTATTTATGTATCCGTTAGTGAAACAAATTATATGCTTAAATACAAGAATCCGCTAACTTTAAATCGATAGTAAGTATACTCATATGCTTTCTCTAGCCGAAACACTAGTAACGAGCCGACTTTTCAGGTCAAATAATCTACCATAAATAAGAGCGATTTGTGAGCCATTTAAAATCCGCAATCACTATAATTGTTTCATGCCTGACCCACAATACCGAAAACTAAATGGATTATGATAGTTTGGTTTCGAGATAGTCATTACAAGAGTATACTGTGCGTTACATTATTGCAGTAGTAAAATATACTAAAATATGTACTTAGAACTGAAAATGATCGCAGTCATCTCTCAAGTTTAACCATTTTTTCCTACAAGTAAATCTCGTAATAGACTATAAAACTGTCAGCGATTTGAGAAAAAAGTGATTTACGAAGATCTACAGTATAATCTTGTTGACTAAATAACCAATTTTTATCATATACGTACATGGATCGTATCATATCCTAAACGATCCATCCAACCTAATTTGAGTGATTTCTCATTGGTGAAATGATACGCTACAATATATTTTTATTGACTTTTAAACATAATTAACTCCTACATTGTAATTAATCATATAAGGATTTATTTCTTCTGTTATCCCATTTATTTTGTAAAAGAGGTAATGTAAGTGAATGGGAATAGCTTTCAGCTTCATAAAGAGACACTGATCATATTTAATACAAAAAAAATGATTAACTACATAAACCCCAGAATGATTCTTTATAAACCGAAAATATTCAATTCTCTGTAAGTTATTTAAGACTAAAGAGATAAAAGATCAGGAAGAAAAAGATTATTATCGTTTTGTTTTAAGACGATGAGCTTGCAATCTAATTTATTACGCTAAGAAATTAGCTCCAATTTTTGATGTTATCACGCTTCCTTCAAGTACACTTTTGGCATATAAATAAGTACAGTAGAACACTGTTCCGTCTAGGATAAATAATTTGCGACGATTTTTGATACGTAGTAAAGAAATCGTTATGTTTAAGATGATAAGTTTACAATCTAATCTGTCATAAATAAGATCGATTTGTGAAATTACTGTAGGTATACAGTATAAGCCTACCCAAGGAAATAAGTTACCGTTAAGAACATGAAATTCAGACGTTGCCGTAGCCTATTTTAAAATTCCAAGCTCTAACCTAATTATTATTTGCATACATATTACAATGAGGGGCGTAATATTGCACTCTTGACTAATCAAAGTTTGTATAAAGGTATTAATCCGACAACATAAGCAGGCAATCAGTACTGATTTAACGCAGTAATTATTTACTCATTTTTAAATATGTGAAGCACTTTCTAGTTATGGCTACAAAAGGGATAATTATTGTAGATGTTTTAGCCAACCTGACTTTGATCAATACACATTTGCCATAAAGTTAATTTAGAATAAAAATATGGAAAAACTAATAGCCGAGATCGTAACTCTTAACGTGACGCTTTGTGATATCTGATAACTTCACACTCTCAATAAATCTACAATTCATAAAGTGATTTCGATGGAAAGATATCAATGCATCCAAAACACTAAAATGTATCTGTCATGCAAGTTAAATGACCATAGCTAATTCCTTTCGTAAGCGTATACAGCTAAAAATACTTTGTCGTTTCATTGTAAAATCGTGCTCAGTAACTGGATTAGCACTGAACAGGTTACTAAATAATTAATCGGCTTAAGCACGGGTATAATTTCTTAAGCAGCTTATAAAACTATCCTTATTGATAAAATACTTAACATATTGACCACAAACATTCAAATATCAAAATCTAGATAATTCATCTTGCGGCTGCAACAATGTACGTGAATTAAACCTTAGATGTCCTAGACTATTCTCGGACTACTTTTATCTGTTGCACATACCTGGATTGTTTGTCCCTTTACTACAACTTTTTGAAGTAAACGCTTTACGCTGTGTATAATAATTATAAATAGATTAGAAATTGAATAAAGTTACTTTCGATGATGATTTTTTGAAATTTTACATGCAATCTCGGATCAATGACTCACGATCGCTATAACATTAAGTCAAGAAATTTTATAATTCTTTTAATGATTAGACATGCTTTGTTAATTTAGGTGCCTACATGTAACTCTTCTATATATCCATCTATATATCCAGAAATTATAACATTGCTCTCGTTGCCTGAAGTCTCTCTATTCATTTCAAATTTACAAATTTCAACGCGACCTTTATCTTTGGAGGTATTTGGGAGTTTAGGATATATAATTCTATTTCCATAGTTATAATAGTTATCGTTCCTATCGCTATCGTTCCAATTAATTGTAATCTCCAAGCCACCTATTTTCTGATATTTTGCATCATCACTTGAAGATAAGTATCGAAGAATATATTTGCCATTTTTTAATAAAGGTTTTGCATTTCCATCAATTGTAAGATCTAGTTCGACCATTTTTTCTGAAAGTTCATACTCAGCTTTACTGTTGCATGATTTTATTACCAAGTTTATATGTAATTTATCCGGTTGTACAGGCAACGCATAGGCGAGCATTTCAACACGCTTCTGAATTATTGTAGGCCGCTGGGTCTTGATATCGCCAGCCTTAGTATTTTTCTCAAAGTTAGATTGTGTTGAAGAGCTGGCTTCTGATCTTCGTACAAAGCCAGGATCTGCTTTATTATTTTTTTCACTTTCTTTGTTGTTACTGGCATCGATTAATGACGTTTCTACATAGGAGTTATTATCAAGTTGAAGTAGATTCTCTTCCTCCTTAATTTTTTTCTTAGTTCCGGTAGAGCCTGAAGACTCGATATTTTTTTGACTTTGCAACTGTTCCGGTCTTGTTGTATGGTGCATCTCAGATTTTCGCTCAGTCTTAGTATATCGGCGATTGTCTTTACAGATAGCGTTATTATTAAGATTTAGGCTCTCATTTTGCAAACAAAATTTAAGACATCCATTTTCATCAAATTTTGTACCGTGATCTTGTTCGTAACATTGATTTGATGCCATCGATCGATCAGATTGTTCAGGAGCAATGCTATCGGCATTGGCATCTTCATACTCGCTGCTCTCATTATCATCCTCCATAGTATCCGACTGATCATCTTCACACTTGCTGCTATTATTATTAGACTTCGTAGTCACATTTTTACAGATAACGCTATTTAATGAAAAATGATTTAGGGTGTATCTAATGCATTTGTATTCGTCTTCAACGTTAATAAAAAAAGTACAATCTTCCTTTTTCCAAGACGAGTTAATATTATTTCTGTGTAATAAAGATTTCTCACAATGTTCAAAGTCTATCCCTTGATTCTCAAGAGCTGATACCGCTTCTTGCAATATGGGTAGTATTAAGATCGGCTTTGCAGGGCCTTCAAATGTTAATCCATCAGGCTCAAGATTAACGATTGGTGTTAACATTATGAATTTCCTTGTTCCATCTGCATATGGTGGATCGTGGTAATGTACTGAAACTTTGATTTTTTCATCTTCTGTTAAACTATCAGATGGAATTACAAGTTTGATACCAGGCACACTATCGATAATTATAATATTTTCCTGGTTTTTCAGGCATATTTTACTTGCTTCTGGGTAATCGATGAGAACTAAAGAAACAAAGGTTATGATTGAAGTCTTTCTTGACATCCATCTTAATTTTAAAGAAGACTAATACTAATATTATGTTAGTCATTCGACTCCTTAACGTCGATATCAATCAATATTACTTTTACGTACGTATAGTGGTTATAATACAATGACATCTACCATTTTCTAACCTGGTTCCTTATTAGAAGCAGCCCTCTGGATTTCTTTAATTAAATTTTTACCCATCTCTCGAGCCTTTGTCAATGATGACGTCTTAAGAAATCGGCAAAATCGATTTAAATCTAAGTTGATAACTGACTTTAGCAATAAAATAGCAATATCCATTCTTTCTTGAGGGTCAGAACAGTCTGACAAAATATCCTTTTCTGCAGTGGTTAGAAACTCGCTATCTTGCAAAAAGCTTGTAACTTGACTTTCTACAGAGGTAGCGTCAGCTTTGCGTAAAACTTTGTCAACGATATCCATGAGACATCCATTTCTTAGACCTCCTTTATGAAAATCTACAGGCATAATATGAAATACTGCGGTTAATAAAAACGATTGTGACCAGGCATGATTGAATTAGAGTTGTTGTACAACCGTCATTCCTTACCTTGTAAATTATATACATATACATTACCAGTGTTATAAATAAGAAATGAGTAATATATATAAATGTTAATTTATCTATTCAAATTTTATTTTACTTATAAAAACATATTATTTTTGACGTATTCATTTTCCTCTTAAAACTATTTTACTAGAAGTAAACATAAGAAATTGAAACTCTACTGAGCATCATTTTCAATTTTAATAATCTTTGCCAACTAATACAGAGTATCGAATATTACTAGAATTTTGCAATATTGAATTATCATGAGCTGTCAATGTTTTAAATTTATTTTCGGTAAATTTGTTACAATTCATAATCGGTCCATAATTTTAGTATGTAAGCGACTAAGGAATAATTTGAAGAGCCTATTCCAAAAAAGGCAATGACTTATGTTTAAGAAAGAAAATTATTTCAAACTCCACAATGATCTAAAAGTGACGGGTACTTTGCATCTAAATTGTGTAACCTAATAGATAAAATAATCCTAAATGGATCAATTGCACCAAGTAGAATTCAAAGCAATCATTAAAAAATAGGAAGACCTACGATATTTTATTAAATTGATTAATGTTTGCAAATTAAATTACATTATAGAATGTAGATTGTAGATAGATGAAAATAGTTGAAAGAATAACGAATGTTGATAAAACAGGGATTGATCGATGTGATAATAACAAATTGATCCTTTAATTTATTTGTCGAGGGATATAAATTAAATTATTAAACTGCAGTGTTGTTAAAAAAAAGTAAAATAGAATGTAGAGCAATCAGACTACTTACATCACTTTGCGATGAAAAATACGAGGACAGATGTCAATGATGTTATGAAGAAATAGCATAAAATAACATAAACTAGTAGTTGCCTTATCTTGCTCGTTCATAATCTCACAATAAAACATCATGAGAAAAAGTTGCAATATTATTAAGGACAACAAATCAGGTACCGTACCTATTTTTTCTACAATATCTTTTCTTTTTATGGCTCTTAATGCTCCTATTAATCGCTTTTTTGTTGCAACTTCACCGTTAACATTTGACCATCTCTCTAAAAATTCACTGGCCCGATCATAATTGCTCTTATATATATCTTGAATGTGGCTGACATCAATTGCTCCTGATTCATTTAATTTTGATGCTAAGTCAATCCAGTCCTTTTCCAGATTCGTTGCCACATCCAAAAAGTATTGAGAAATATCTAGATATTGCAAATTCCAGTATCATCATATCGATAAAATGTCAATGATTTGCATCTACACTGTTCCTCAAGTACGTTCTTTACGAGTAGCTATTATAAACCTCCTTTATTCCACTGGTTTTCCCTTTTTAATGTGCTATCCGGTCTATATTGAGTAACATCTAAATTGAATAAGTTTCATAGTTTCATTTTAGCAAAAAATCAACGACTAGCATTTTCGCAGTTCTATAATACCCTGCTTTTGAGACTTGAGAGCAATTACTGAATACCTTTTCTTAGTTGGTTAGTTCGTTTTGATTCACTGCTGTATACATACTGAGTAGTATCTGGAGATGATAATTTCATTATCGTCATATTTGCATAAAATCAACCACTATCATCAACAAATAATTAATGAATAGGTTTTTGCTAGAATTTTTAAAGCAAAACCTTCATATCTCCAACTTACGCTGTTTTATTCAATGTCGACTGTATTGCAAGTAAATACGAAATAATAATCAAATTATGCAATTCATTTGCTCAGTTTGTCGACTCACTGAGTGAAATCTTGTCTAAAGTAGCCAAACGATTACTAATAATGAAACAGTGATCTTACTAATAACGAAACAGTGACCATTTGAGCTGGATCTCAATCTACCTTATTTAGTCTATACGATATATTAGTAAAGAAGTAATTACCCTTTGCATTTCTGATTTGAGCTAATAAAGTAACAATATGCAATTTTTTCAAATCGTAAATGATTTATAAGATAATTACCTGGGGTTACTACTAAGCAGTAATCCTTATCACCCTTGATGATGAGTTGAGAGTGTTGAAGATTCCATTGCATGTCCTCTATCAAGAAGTGATCTTGTGGTTGAAATGGTAGAGTGATTTGTAGCTCTAGTGTTTGGGGGTTATAAATATTCAAACTATAATTATTGAAACTATTTTCATACAGGATTAACTGCTTGTCCGACCATAGATTTTCATGGTCGAAGAATTGTGTTGCGAAATTATCGAAGTATTTGATATTGTCTTTGTATCTTTTCATGTATAAATTTCCATCTTGGTTGAGTATCTATAGGCATTGAATTTTATGATTAGCACAACCTACGTTCAACAATGACGACGTCACATTGATTGTATGCAGTTATCGTTGTCTTACTGCTATATGGTCTCCATTTTCCAGTAGTAGCAAAAGATCGTCAACATCGTCCTATAATGAATTTAATGGAACATAAGGATCAATTATGGACTAGAGTCGAACTCCTTACATAATCAACTCATTACAGTTGTTGTCATCCTCCTTCCAACTCATTTCCATATTGACCGTATCACTGCGATCATTATGACTTACCACTGCTAATACATTAGCAATCATTTCGGCATCTTTCTCTTCCCATACATCAACTAATTTTTCTTTCTTCATCCGAAGAGGCGAATGTTTAATCTTATTAGGGTTATAATTAATCATTATTTTACAGATTAATCCTTCCTTCTCTTGGCACTTAATATTTTGCAGTAATTGCGTACGATGTTCACCATCCCCAAACTTGTAACACTACAATAAATTTAAGTCGGAAATGTCGTTATTGGTCGCCTCCATTTGCAATAGACGTCAAAGTCGACATTCAAGGCTATTTTCGACATGAAACTGAACAGTCAATTTATAGACGGTTCGAGTTAAGAATGGAGATTACATGAAAATAAATTATTCAAGCTTACTCTCAAGCATTCATCATATCCCCAAGCATAAAGATATCCATCATCAACATACACAGCATCATGACTCCATGTCAGTCGATCAACGCTCTTCATTCCGGTTGTAAGGTTAATAGTTATTATCCAGCTATTGAATGAGGAGAATGTCTGAAATAAATCAAGTAATTAATTCGACCAATTGACCTCCAACGTAATTGTAAAATCAGTTCAACAACTTCTTATGCTAGCTAATAAGCATTCTCATTTTCATCATCTTCTTCTAAATAATACTACCGTCATTTTCATACAAACTTCAAACTAGTATTTTCAACATACGTTCATGAGAATGAGTGTGTTATCCTTCTTTCTATATCTGAAGAGAATCAAATCTTTAGCAGCCGATTCTTCTTCAAGTATTCCATTGATTAATTCCCTGTACTTTCTACAATCTTCTATACCTACAAACTCGATCAGCTGCAACCAATCAATATTATTCAATTCAATTCAATTGAGCAGAGGATTGAACAAAGTCGATAGAGCTACTAGTGCTGATGAAAGCTTAACCTACGTCGAATATGTTGACGGTAGTTTGGGGGTTACGTTGGGGTCTACCAACATCAACTGATTTTGTTTGAGAGATATCTTGCCAAGCAATTTTATCGCCTTAGTTTAATAAAAACGATTGTGACCATGAATGAATGCATGATTGAATTAGAGTTGTTGTACAACCATCATGTCTTACCTTGTAAATTATATTCATATACATCCCGTTCATCATAAATAAGCAATCGATGACTACCAGGAATAAACATTGATCGACCAGATTGATCAAGTTCAACACCAGATTGGACTTGACCACCACTCATCTTGAGTATGACTTCCTACATACAGTATACCACAGTATTACAATATAGGACTAATATTACTGCACAATAAAATATTATGCTGATCTACTTTATGACGCATTATCAATATGAGTAACCCAATATTGCACTAACCCTAGTTATACATTCAATAGCGATCATTGACTGATCGCCTGATACCAAAATATTCTCAACGAATCCAATATCATGTAATATAATTCGAAATTGATTTTCGAATTCGAAATTCAATGACGAGACGAATTCTTGTTCCATTTTTAACTGACCAATTGTACTACTAATATGTCTGGTATATGACAATATCATATAGGCTGCATCACGGTAGATGTTGATGTACCTTAAGGGCTTGCTATGTTGAAAATCATTGGTAGCAAAGTACCGATCATCATCCTTTGCATGGATGAAAGCAGGTACTTTGAATGATCGACAAGTCCATTGCTGTGCATTCCACATCTATCCATCAAATTGATACAAATAGCTTTTATCAATTGGATCTAAGAGACGATATTTGACTTGACTGCATTTAGTCAATTGTAGCTTACTTCAATTTGACATTCATTAATCCAATTTTGCGGATCGACAGGTTCATAGTCTTTAGACTTCCCTCCTTGACTTCGATATTTTCTCCACCACAACAAGACACAAACACTATCTGCA